CTCCGAGGCTCTTCGCTTCGATGCCAATGTTTTCAGACACCGTAGCTCCGTTCCGTAAACATCTTCCAAGAACCGCTCGCAACCTTTTGCAGCTGGCGGTCTGCAGACGTAGTCTGTCTCAGCATGCGAGCTCCCGCACGCTTCGCCGGCTTTTGCTGCGCGGACAATTTTCTCACACACGTCAGCGCCGTTTGTAGGCGTCAGAAAAACATGTAGACATTCACGAAGGGCTTAGTCTGTATATCGTCACATCATTACATACGCAGTCGTCGAACACATCGGTGTACATTCAGCGCTTTGTCCTTCTACAGCATTCTTTCCGTTGATAACAGTGTTCTGATGGGTTCGCTTCGTTCTAAAAGCGTTGATAGCAGTGTCTCGTTTGCGGACAACTCATTCTATATCAACTCACTGATACCGAGTTTCCTTTCACCATAAGTGAATGCATACCAGTGTATGTTGGTTACTACAAAAGTGGGTTCCTACAACCGACTTCATGATCGCTATCATCATCGCAGATTTCACTCATCCTCATCACCACGACTGGTTCACGTTGGCCTGCGGTGCTTCTCAGCCTGCAGTTCCTTTCGTTACACTGTAGTTGAAGCCGTTCATGGCAGTGACTCGTTTAAAGACAACTTTAGTATTGGGGGAAGTGTCGATAGCAGCGTTTCTTTTTACTTATACAAGCGTTGATAGCAGTGTCTCGTTTGTGGACAACTCATTATATATCAACTCATTCATACAGAGTTTCTTTTCGCAGCAAGTGAATGCACAGCAGTGTATCTGCATTACTGGCCCCCACTCCATTACCACTATCATCATCAACGATTTCCTACACGCGTGTGCGCGGCGGTCGCCATGAGTGAATAGTTTGCAGAGACTTCTCGCATTGATAGCCATGGGTCACTTCAGAGTGAACTCATTTGTGATCTTCTTTTATTGGAAGTTGAATCGGTTGATGGCAGTGCCTCGTTTAAACTCCACTTTGGTATTGCTAGTAGTGTCAATGCCAGCGTTTCTTTTTAATTGTGCAAGCGTTGATAGCAGTGTCTCGTTTGTGGTTAGTTATAACAGCGTTGACAGCAGTGTCTCGTTTGCGGACACCTCATTGTACATCAACTCGCTGATACCGGGTTTCCTATCAACACCATCATCATCATCCTTAACCTCCTCGTAGCCATTTTGCTTAGAGCTGTAGCCACATGTTTGCTCGAGTTTCACCTGGCCGTCCAGCCGCGGCGGTGCTCCTCAGCCTGCCTTGTCACAATGCCAGCACGCGGCAAGGCATCGCCCCCGCCACCCCCGGCCCCGTGCGATGGCCCGTGGGAGATTCTGCCGGATCCGCCCGCACCGACTCCTCAGCCAGGTGTCGACGTGGTCTTTGAGCAGGCTCACCTCGAAGACATCCGCCGTACACCAGGGATGGGCGGCAAGACCGCCTGCCAGTGGCAGCGCGCGCTGCGCGCCGAGTGCATTGTCAACAACTTGTCGTTCAAAGACGTAACAAACGACCCGTCCTACGACTGGAAGCAACTGCTTCGGTCTGCCGCTCCGGGTTTCGCTGAGCGCATAATCGGGCAGGGCATCGCCCAGGTTCTCTTTCGCATCATCGAGACAGAGCGCGACCCTAACTACTCCAACACGGATGGCCACGGCAGGCACTTCTTCGAGTTCCGTCGTGCAGACGGTTCAGCCATGCGCCTGCATTACCATAAGAACGGCCGACCCGATGAGCCCACCTATGTCGGTCCACCACGCGCCGTTGCTCAGCCTGCCGTGCCTGAGCCTGGCGCTGCTCAGCCTCATGTTCCTCGTGGCGGCGCTGCTCAGACTGCCGTGCCTGACGGTGGCGCTGCTCAGCCTGCCGAGACTGGCGGTGATGCCCCACTGCTCTTCACACAGGAGCACCTGCAAGAGGCAGCCTGCTCGCGCCAGATTGTGGGCCGCGACGAAGCCAGCGCCGCTCTCCAATCGCTGTTGCACTACCACCATGGCGAGACTGCCCCAGGTGCTGTTGACATCACCGATGGCTCAGCATTTGACTGGCTTCGATGGGTGGCACATATCGAAGGTGCGCGCGACGTCATCCGCAATGGCGTCCACAGGGTCTACGCTGTCCGCTGGAATCCGCACTGGGCTCCAGAGGCCGTCTTCTGCTACGGCAACAACACCTACAGCACACTGGTGCCCCGCAAATCGCGCTACACAGGCTCGTGGAGCCACGCGCGAATTGTGACTCACCGGAACGCCAATTGGGTGACCGAACCGTTGCTATCTGCGGCCCCTGTGGCAGCTACGCCGTGGCTGGTGTTGCGGGATCAAATAACCTGGGAGTGATCTCTGGCAAACGAGATGTGGTGCTTCTCAGCCTGCACTCATGTGACACGCAATGCCGTGCCCTGCAATCGCGTGGTGTTTCTCAGCCTGCACTCGCAGGTCCTTCGGAGGTCAATTGTTATGAGTTCGGCACGGTCTCGGTCAAGTACAGCGTGCTGTGGGGATCCCGAGATGGGGCCTGGCTCAAGGTGCTCAAGACGTACTGGAGTGTCCCAGAGCCGGAGTGCCAGCTGATCCTCGGGAGTTGGAACGGCATTTTCAGGCCGTGGCCGGACACGTTCTGGATCAGGACGGGGGGGTCCGAGCCCGAGATGGAGTGCTAGCGCTCTGCAGTACAAGTGCTTTTCAGCATGCGACATCCTGCGGTGCTTCTCAGCCTGCAGGGTTCGCAGCGTGCGGTTTGCAATGCATTCCTTTTCAGTATGCGAGTTCCTGCGGTGTTTCTCAGGTTGCAGGGCTCCGAGGCTCTTCGCTTCGATGCCAATGTTTTCAGACACCGTAGCTCCGTTCCGTAAACATCTTCCAAGAGCCGCTCGCAACCTTTTGCAGCTGGCGGTCTGCAGACGTAGTCTGTCTCAGCATGCGAGCTCCCGCACGCTTCGCCGGCTTTTGCTGCGCGGACAATTTTCTCACACACGTCAGCGCCGTTTGTAGGCGTCAGAAAAACATGTAGACATTCACGAAGGGCTCAGTCTGTATATCGTCACATCATTACATACGCAGTCGTCGAACACATCGGTGTACATTCAGCGCTTTGTCCTTCTAGCTGGGTCGCTTCGTGCTGAGGCTGAGGCTGATGCAGGCTGAGGCTGAGGCAGGCTGAGGCTGAGGCCGAGGCCGACGGCAGACTGAGGCTGAGGCTGAAGCAGGCTGAGGCTGAGGCAGAGGCAGGCTGAGGCTGAGGCTGAGGCAGGCTGATGCTGAGGCAGGCTGAGGCTGAGGCTGAGGCTGATGCAGGCTGAGGCTGAGGCAGGCTGAGGCTGAGGCCGAGGCTGAAGGCAGACTGAGGCTGAGGCTGAAGCAGGCTGAGGCTGAGGCTGAGGCAGGCTGAGGCTGAGGCAGGCTGAGGCTGAGGCTGAGGCAGGCTGAGGCTGAGGCTGTGACTGCGACTGCCGTTGCCACTGCGACTGTCATCGCGAATGCGACTACGACTGCGAGAACAGCAGAATTCTACAACTGGATTCTCATCTGAATCTTAAGGGGAATGCTTCCAGATATGCTCCTACACGTCGCTGTTAGGTTGCTTTGCCGGGATAATTTTAGTAAAACTACTCCGAACTTCTCCGCACGAGCGCGTCATTCCAAAAGGCAAAATGAAAGAAATTCTTTGCGCTTCGCGTATCCCCACCAGCCCATCTCACAGCAGCAACTCTTGCGAAGCATGCCGACCGTCGTGTTTTTCAGGCGTGTGTCCGCTTGGCCCCGCATATCTCCCCTGTTCCTCCTTCCTCCCGCCTCCTTGTACATCCTCCTTGTGGGGGGAGCGGGAGAAGGACGAGGCGGAGGAGGAGGGAGAGAAAGCGCTCCTCGTGGTTTGAGTCGTTTGGGGTTTCTCGTCCTGGTGTGAGTCGTTCGGGCCCTTCTTCCTGGTGTGAGTCGTTCGGGCTCTTCGTGGTGTGAGTCGTTCGGGCTCTTCGTCCTGGTGTGAGTCGTTCGGGCTTCTCGTGGTGTGAGTTGTTCGGGCCCCTCGTCCTGGTGTGAGTCGTTCGGGCCCCTCCTCCTGGTGTGAGTCGTTCGGGCTCCTCGTGGTGTGAGTCGTTCGGGCGCCTCGTCCTGGTGTGAGTCGTTCGGGCCCGTCCTGGGTGTGAGTCGTTCGGGCTCTTCGTGGTGTGAGTCGTTCGGGCCCCTCGTCCTGGTGTGAGTCGTTCGGGCTCCTCGTGGGGCCTCTTGGGGGCCTCTTGGAGCCTCTTGGGGCCTCTTGGGGGCCTCTTGGGGGCCTCTTGGGGGCCTCTTGGGGGCCTCTTGGGGCCTCTTGGGGCCTCTTGGGGGCCTCTTGGGGGCCTCTTGGGGGCCTCTTGGGGCCTCCTGGGGGCCTCTTGGGGGCCTCTTGGAAGCCTCTTGGGAGCCTCCTGGGGGCCTCTTGGGGCCATCTTGGGGCCTCTCGCGACCTCCTCAGAAGCGCAAGTGAGCAGTGCCCCCTGAGGAGGACAAAATGAGCCCCAAACCTTAGTAAAATCAATGATTTTGCTATGACGGACGATGAGCGCTGCCCCCTCAGAAGCCCAAAATGGGGCAAACACCTTAGTAAAATCAGTGATTTTTGCTTCAGAGAGAGCGGAGGCGCCAAACGGTGCCCCCCCCCTCGGGGCCAGAATCCTCGTGAGGGTCGTCGTTTTTTAGCCCTCCCAGGAGTCGAAAAAGACCCCCCCTGAGAACACTCGGGGCTCCCTGTCCAGGCCCAGGGGGAGGGGGTAGGGGGAGGGGTAAACCCCTCCCCGAAGGGGAAGAAGGGGGGTTGAGGACAGAGCGGGCTCTCTAAACCACTCACGCCCAAAGGGCTGGTGGGACTTTAGTCACGCCGATGTACGCAGCTGAATCCACCAGCCCGTTGTCTTTGCCGACCACGATCCCAAGGGTCGGTCTGGCAATCCATATTTACTACAAAATCAAATCCACTGCCGCACACACGGCGACTGCCTCGCATGCAGACCCCGTCGCACCGCGCCGTGCATCACACGCATTAACTATACAGGTAGATGCGCTAGGTTCGAGCACGGCGGCTGAGACTAACTCGTTTGCCCTCTTCTCGTTCGTGCTCGTGTCCGCCCGCCCTTTTCCTTTCTCAGGGTAACCATACTCCTCCCCATCATCATCATCATCATCATCATCAGGACCACCATCACCATCATCGTCATCATCAGCATCATCGTCATCATCGTCATCGACATCATCGTCACCATCGTCGTTGTCATCACCACCATCACCATCGTCATCGCCATCACCATTACACCTTCGTCATAGCCTTATTGGAAGCCTACGATCCCTGTGCTCGCCGCCACGACTGGGCTCCCAGGTCCACCGAGCTTGTCCCGCGGGTGGCAGCCGGAGCGCCCCAGAGGCCGCAGGCTCTGGGCCCCGACCCCCCTCGCCCTCGGGCAGCAGCCGGGCGGGCCCTGCTGGCGCGCCTGCCTGCGCGCGTCGGGCATGCGGGCCCTATCGCTGGTGCCCCGGGGCGGGGAGGCGTTGAGGGAGACAACACGGGGACCATGGCCAAGAGGTCGCGGGATCTTGTCGATGCCGATGGTGGTCATGCTCTTCGTCGGCCGTGGCCGAGTCGCGAGGGTGATCCTCGAAATGGCGCCGACCAGGGCCGTCCGACACCAAGATTGGCGCGACGCTTCTGCGTTCAATCTTGGTCGTGTTCCTTATGTTCTTCCCCTCCAAGGCGGGGGACGCCTCGCTGCGGCGGCGGGTGGAGGCGCATTCGCTGGCGCAGGTGGCGCGTCGGCGCGCACAGCCTTCAGATCTGACGTTGCAGAGGCAAACGTCACCACCAGATATTTCTGCGTCACTGTTCGAGCCAGATCGATCTAGGAGGGTCCTGGGCCCCGAAACTGTGCGGGAACGCCATTGTGAACAAACATCGGCGGCAAGCGAGGGGGTGAAGTGGGAAGGAGAAGGCCTTCTCAGAAGGCTCGGAAGTCCCCGTGCCATTTGAGAAGTTTTCCAAGCCTTCCCAAACGACGCAGACAGCTTTTCAGAAGGCGCGATGACTTCTCAGAAGTCCCCCCGCCTTCGAGAAGGCCTTCTTTCACACTTCCCCCCCCTCGCCGAAAAATGCAGCGGCAAGATCTCAGGAAAGGGGGAACGGGGGCACGTGGCGGCCTGCTGAGGAGGCAGGGGGCTTTTTGGAGGGGCCCGAGGACATCTCAGGCGGTCACCTCGGGGCCGGGAGGGCCTGTGAGAACAGCCCTGCCCTCGCAGCCAGGCCGCCACCCTCGTCCTACGCCCTTTATGGGCACGCCGCTGGCAGGTGCGCGACGCAAGACAACGGGTTGGACGGTGCCGACATTGGCGCGCAAGCTGCCCGCGTAAGGCTGCGCGTGAGCGCCCTCGTCTCCAGAGTGGCGTGCCGCGCTGGCGGCCCGCAGAAGCCGCCGCGTAAGGTTCCTATGTTCACCGAGTGTGTTCCAACATATGTCCGAGAAAACGCATGTCGTGGACAAGCGCGTTCCACTAACTATACTCGAAACGTGCCTACTCGCAAATGCCCGAGAAACGTATGTCTTGCTCCACGGAGCGCATCGTGCATTCCCCGCGGCGGATCCAGGCCGTTTGCGAATAGTTACCCTGCGAGCAGTGGAATGCGCCTGTCCAGAGTCATCCCGCGTAAGACCAGGTGCAGGAGATGGTGGACGCGCACGCCCAGGCCAGCGCGTGACCCCGTGGGCCGCCTCCTGCAGCCTGCGGCCCTCCGTGGTCTGCTCCCTCCCGCTGGCTCTGGCAGCTGCCACCGATTCCGCCCCCGCCTCCTTGGGCTTTGGACTGGAGTGAAGAAAAAAACGGAGGACGATATCCGTGGCTTGGAGGAGGAAAGACTGATTCCCTGGATTGGAGGACGATTCCTCGGATCGGAGGAAGATTCTTCGGAGGAAGAACGGCATCAACATAACCTTTCGGCGCTCCGCGCGGACTTCTTGGATCCACGCTGGGGCACCCCCGGCGGCGCCTCCGGCGCCGCCCCTGGTGCGCTCCGCGCGCCGGGAAGGTGGGTCCAGCGCAGATCTACGAAATCCACGCAGACCGTCGAAAGTTTATGTTTATGCCATGTGTAGTCCTTTTATTGCTAACAGGAATCAAACACGGCATAACATCAGAGTGAGGGGCCCGAAAACGTCATTCAATGTTCCCTGGGTTCGTGGCTGAAGTGGGGTGCCGTAATTCGGATTGTTCTTGCGTTGTTTTTGTTATTGAATTGATGTTGAATGTGCTGTTATTGTTGTGATCGATTTTGGTTTTGTTGTTGTTGTTTTGTTGATTTTGTTGTTGAGGATGTAGTTGTCTTTGTTGTTGTTGGTGTTGTTGGTATTGTTGGTTGTGTTGTTGTTGTTGTTGTTGTTGTTGTTGTTGTTGTTGTTGTTGTCGTGGTTGTTATTGTTGCTGGTGCTGTTGCTGTTGCTGCTGTATTGTTGTTGTGGTTGTTGTGGTTATTGTGGTTTTTGATTTTACTTTTCGTATCAGTTTTGTTGTGGTTGTTGTTGTTGTTGCTGTTGTTTTTGTTGGTGTTGTTGCTGTTGTCGTCGTCGTCATCGTTGTTGATGTTGTTGTTGTGGTGGTTGTTGTTGTTGTAGTCCCAGTCGCGACCCACACGAGGCCCGCCCGCGGCCCGCCCGCGACCCACCCGCGACTCACCCGCGACCCGCCCGCGACCCGCCCGCGACCCAGGAGCGACCAACCCGCGACCCACCCGTGACCGCAGGAGCACGGCAGATCAGAACGGCATAACACAGCAGTGCCGCAGACCACCACGCCCAGACACACATGCACATATTCTTTGCACGCACGCGCACTCGCAAACGCACGCACGCCACGACATATCTACGCGGCAGACCAACAACAGAGCCTACTTCGCATACCTAGTGGACAACAGCGACGCTTCCCGCTCTTGTTTCCTCGCAATAGCGATTTCGCTTGAGACATCCTCACGCAACTGAGATCTTTGCGACATCGCGTTTAACAAAAACAGGCGTTTCGTTAGAGACGTCCTCGAAAAGCTGATCGCCGCGAAATTCATTAATCTGTAAACAGTTGCGTTTCGCCGGAGACATCCTAGCCAAAATGAGGTATCGAGAGAGGTGTATTATTATCTCATGCTGAAGAGCTACGTTTTCGCTAGGGGCGTCCCCAGAAAATGAGCGGCAGCACGGCGAACCAGAAAAAAGAGCACGGCAGACAATTCGCATGTGATTGGGGATATCTTCAAACATATGAGATGTTCTCAACATTGTCTAGACATCGTTCTTGAAGAGCTTCAAGATGAAGAAATGAGAGCCCCAAAAGGGCACCAACATGGCTCCAAGAGCGCCCTGATGACTGCCGACAATGGCGATTTCGCTAGGGACATCTTCAACACATGGAACAACTACAACAGGATCGTTTTGAACAACGTCTTGGGACCGCTCTTGAAAAGGTCCCAGACGGCCCAAGCTGTGCTTCTAAAAATGACGATTTCGCTAGGGGCACCCTCAAACAACATATGTGCGTGGCATCGCATTGGCATCGTTTTTGATGGCACCTGCACGGCCCTGAACGTTCCCCAAACGAGCCCCAACATGACCCCAGGAGCGCCCTCGAGATTTATCAAGATGCGCATTTCTTTCGATACTTCCTACAGACATGAGTTGTTCACAACACCGTCTTTGACAACAGCAAGCATGTCGCTTGAGACAGCCACCAGAAAATGAAAACCGCGAGTTTAACACATGTATGGGAATGAGGATATCGCCTGTGACACCCTCGAACAAACGAGATGCTGAAATTGCGGATTGAAGGCCATGCGTATTATTAAACATGAGTTTTTCGCCTAAGACATCTTCAGACAGTGGGCAGGATCACAGTAGCCCAACAAGCAGAAGCACGGCAGAACGCGCGAGAGTACGGCAGAACACACAGGATCACGGCAGAACACAGGAACACGGCAGAACCCACAAAATTCACGGTATCACGGCAGCAGCAACAGGAGCACAGCAAACCACATGAGAGCACGGCAGACCACACAAGAACGCATTTCTACCAGCACGGCTGGCGGGGGTGGCAGTCCTGCGGCAGGAGACCCCCAAGACCAAGTAAGGAGGCTTTCAACGAGGAGGAGCTGGCCAGCGCCACCAAGAAGGAGCTCAAGGCATACCTTGAGTCGCTGGGGTTGGGTCAACTGGCTGGTGGCTCTGATGATGATGCTGAACTGCAAAAAGCCGTCAAACGAGTCATCCAAGCGCCTTCTTGGCAGGAGGTCAAGCGCCGACGTAAGACACCACACGAGGGCGCGGGTAGCGCCGCTAGCCGCTAAGATGATGATGCCACTGGTTCAGGAAGGGAGGGAAGCTCGTGGCTGCGAGCAGCCTTCATGCGAGGCCCACGGCAGTGGGGTGGTCGATGCCGTCGCACAGCACGGAGCCTTGGGTCCGCTGTCCAATAAGTCCGAGCGTGGCCTGTGGTCCAGTCCAGGACGCAGCCCTCGCTAGCGAGGCCCACGGCGGTGGGGTGGTTCATGCCCTCGCACACGATGATCCCCTTCGCGGCTTGGGGGGTGTTTGCGACGCTCGCCACGTCGCCTGCCCAGTGAGTCCGAGCGAGGCCTGCGACCCAGAGCAGGTTGCGGCCCTCGCTGGCGAGGCCCACGGCGGTGGGGTGTCCGATGCCCTCGCGCACGCTGATCATGGAGGCGGCAAGGGCTTGAGCCGCGCTACTCGCCATAGCGCCCGCACTGTAAGTCCGAGCGAGGCCCATGGCGGTGGGGCGGTCGATGCCCTCGCACACGAAGCTCGCGGAAGCGGCATGGGAAGGAGTTGCGATACTCGCGACGTCGCCCTCCCAGTAAGTCCGAGCGAGGCCTGCGTGCCAGACCAGGACGCGGCCCTGGATGAGGCCTCTGGACGGGGACGTGGGAGCCCGATCCTATTGAGGTGCTTGAGGACGAAGGATTACCACTCCAGGAAGGTGCCCCCGTGCTAGATGACGGGCCCTTGCCCTGCCAGAAGCCAGCCGGGCCCTCCTGGGACGCAGGCTGTCTGTCTGGCGCGACCCACTTGTTGAGACCCAGGATGCCTCTGGGCGAGTGCGACTACACGTGGGGTGTCTTTATCCTCTCGCTTGGGCGGTTCAGCATGCAAAAAAAATGGGCGTGTGTTCCATCTACATTATGATTTCTTTATTGTGGCTTTGGACAGAAGGTGAAGGAAACTAATATATGTTAGGTTCGCTGGGGGGGGCGATGAGAAGCGAGCGGAAATTGAGAAGGGGGGGGGGACGGAGGGGGGAGGTGGAGGATATTGGTTGCACCCAGCGGCTAAGTTCACGTGATCCTGACGGCTCTGGTCGTGAACGCGCACCGAAAACAAAGGCCCTTGGCACCGAACAGTATGGATTTCGAAGCCTTGGGGCCCTAACTTTGACGTCAAACAGCCTTGTGATTTTCTTGCGAACGCTCCACATCGGCTCTCTCTCGGCACGTGTCGGGCTGGAGGGCGGTGCATTTGGTTGCACCACCCCGTGGCAATTCACTCGTGCATTGCCTCGCTCAAGTCGAGGGCGCACCAAGGCCTGCAACCCACATGCCTGGTGCCCGAGTGCCCTGGACGAGCGAAAGAGAACTTCTTAAAGAGAGTGAAGCAACGAAACAACATGCCAAAACGAGGTGATGATGTACAGTGCGCTCAGTGCGCTGGCGATTGCTATGGCGAAACTTCACATCGTTGAGCTATTCCTGCGTCTGGATTCCCCCCATCCTCCTCCCACGTTCCCCTGTTCTCCCCCCTCTCATCCTTCTCCTTCCCCCCTCCCTCAAAGCAGCGTCAAAGCTCAAGACATGCCACAAATCCGCGCCGACGCCGTCCTGCCCGCGACAACCTCGCCTGGGGAGTTGGCCTCCGTCCACTCGAAGGCCTTGCGACGAAGAGTTTCGCCTGCTTTGAGGGGGCGGTTGGCTTTCAAGAAAGGCCTCTCGAAAGTGAAAACCTTGGCAGTCGAGTCGACCTCGACATCAAGTTGCACGGTCTCGAATTCGACAGGGTGCGTGTGAGAAAGCTTCTTGCGATTGCCAGCCTTCTTCGGCTGTGGTTTTGCTGAGGGTGCTGCCTGCTGCGCCTGCTGCGCCTTGGCAGCGGAGGCGCCCTTGCGCTTCTTGCTGGGCGGCTGGGCACCGCTGCTGCTGCCAGCTGCGCATGCGCCAGCCTCAGGGTTGGCCGCGCTGTCCACCAAGGGGGCAGCATCGGCGTCGGTCTCACCGTCCACGTCGTCCTTGATCATCGGGAGCATCCATGCGACGCATGCGTCTGAAACCAAAGGGTTGAGGACCTTCGAGCCATCCAGGAACAAACTCAAACCGTTGCTTGTCCCCAGTGGAAGCAGAGTGCCACGCGGAAGGCTCCTCGCAGCGATCGTATCTACCACCCTGCCCCAACAAACGAACTCGGGAGCCTCCGTGGTCGTTGCGTCTGCCGCAAGACGAGCTGTCAAGGTCCCCGCGCTCTTCTCCCTGGAAAAGTCAATCATCGCGTCGCGGGGAAAGCGGCCTTGCAGTCCGTCAGCGGGTGGCATGACATTGCCTTGCACAGAGGCGATCACCCGCGCCTTCGTCGCGCTGGTCATGGCAAGGTGGTCGGGCCCGTTGGATTTCAGCTCCACTCAAAGTTTGGAAGAAAGGCGGGGAGAAGAAGTGAGGGCGAGAAGGAAGCTGGTGTCATTAATAATGTATGTTAGTTTCGAGCGGTCCTCCTCGGTGAGCATGCTGATCCACTGCGTGATCCCCAGGCTGGTCAGGTTGAAGTCGCCCTGGGGAATGC